CTTTTTAGCAGCATCATATGACCCCTTTAAGCAAAAAATTTTGTGAAAATAATGTCACAACGTAAAAAAAAAAAATCAAAATGGTAATGAAATATGAATCAGACATGTTCTTGACATCTTTTACAGTGTTTTTTATATCATAGCAGTCGCAACATGACCAGCGCCCACCTGTTTCTGACTGATTTCAGACGTCTTATAGTGCGCATTCATCCGTTCAGACCAAGACGCCACAATCCTTTGCCATCTGATACAAACACAGATCCGTCACATAGCAGCTACTGTACTAAATATATGAGCAGTTCAGCCAGCGCCAGTATCAGACTCTCTCTAAAGGAGACGAGGAGCCTGAACACAGAATAAAATGATTCATAAATCATCAAACCCACCAAAGCTTGGCCCAATTTAAAGTGTGAGGCACCTGGACTTCAGCAACACTGTGAATACATACGGCTGCCAATTATTTCTCTGTGTTAAATCCTCTCCATCTCTTTTCCTTTCCTCTCAGAGATAAAGCCACATCTCATGACGGGCTCAGCGGCAAGATAAATGCTGATGTCACCCGACCTGAATGGGTTTCTGGGCTGTGCCAGCTTACATTGCAGCAGTTCCTGTGTGTGTAGGTGGCATCGAGCGGTAGGAGTCAGATTTATAGTCTACAGACTGGCAGCTGCAGGTCTGCAGTGCCTGATACTGCTAAAGAGGGCATGAGTTGCACCATAGTACTGAATGATGACCATTTAAATTGTTCTCCAAATGGTACATGTCCAATTAATGATGGTAGCGACATGGTATAAACATGATACTGTAACTATAACCCTAATTAAATGACAACACAGTACTTTGACAAAGACATTATATGTTCAAATAAGGTAAAAAAAAAAACATTATTATACTACTACCTCAAAAACAGGGAAGTACTTTGATATATATCATGGTATTGCGTGATTAACATGGTATTACATGGTACTCCAAGGAAATGTAAACAACTCTATGGTATCAACATGGTAATATTGTAACTATAACCTACGTTAAATGACAATACAACACCTTGACGAAGACATCAAATGTTTACGATATGGTACACCAAGGTACTTCAGAAAATACCACGGTATAAGTTCCAAAACATTGCATTACTATAGTAATACTACAAAATACGGTAATATTTTGAGATATATATATTATAGTATTGGGTGATTATCATGGTATTTACATGGTTACTATGGTATCTACATGGTAATATTGCAACAGTAACCTAAATTAAATGGCAATACAGCACTTTGACCATGACATAAAAAATTTACTATGTGGTATGCCAAGGTACTTCAAAAATACCATGGTATAGATTCCAAAAACACTCCATTACCAAAGTAATACCACACAAACAAGGAAATACTTTGATATATAACATAATATTGGGGGATTACCATGGTAGTTACTCCAAGAAACTGTGAAAAAACACTATGGTATCTACATAAACATGCCAGCATAAATGGCAATACAATACATTGAAATATACAATGACATCAAAAGTTTACTATATGGTACGCCAAAGTACTTCAAAAAATACCATGGTATAAGTTCAAAGGGCATTGTATTGCCATAATAATACCACAAAAACAGGGTAATACTTTGATATACATAATGGTATTGCGTGATTACCATGGTATTTACATGATGGTACTCCAAGGAACTGCAAAAAACACCATGGTATCCACATGGTACCGTAACTAACTAAATAATAATACAGTATTTTGACATATACCATGACATAAATTGTATACGATACAGTATACAAGTACTTTAAAGAATATCAGAGTAAGTTCAAAAAAACATTGTACTACCATAGTAATACCACAAAAACAGGGCAATACTTTGATATATATTATGGTATAGGATGATTACCCTGTTGAAAAAACCAGCATATGCTGTTTTTTTCAACAGGGTACCATGCTAAAAACATGGTAACATGTCAAAAAAAACAAAGTGCTATATATAAAATGGCAATGAAATGCACATACAATGATATTGACATGGTAGTCTACTATATCGGAAAGAATATCACAATATATGTCCATAACACAGTAAAACCATGGCCATGTCTTTTATACCATGATATTTAGACGGCAGTCCAACGTACCTGAAAAAAATACTAAGCTATTATATGTTACAAAATACTTAAAGAGGGTGAGCAAATAATCAAATGCCATATGAGTGAAATGGGGTGTTGAACAGGGACTTGGCTTAAGCCTGAATCTGTGCTGCTCATTAGACTAAACAGACCTGGCCTGTAATTGTTGTGTCTGGTCAATGGTCTGTCTGGAGTGGCTTTTGACCAGCACAATCTGTCAGCCGTGGCCTCATGGGCATGACAAGCCATCACACACACACACACACACACACACACACACACACACACACACACACACAGTGTGCCAAACACAATCAGCGTCCACAACAGCTGCAAAATGTTCTTTTCTCAGTTACATGATGAATCATGCTGAAAATCCTGACTGGACCTGAGTAGACCAGCTCGGTCTCTAGATAGAGAGGAAAAAGGGGCGTGTGCCGTAATCTGCACTAGCAGATCAATAACACAAATATCTGAATGATTTCAATGACTGGACTCTTCATGCTGGGATCATGACAAGCAAAACACATCAATAAAGCATTAATGACCATCTCAGAAAATAACAATGCCTTTTTTTCCCTCACTCATGGAGACGATGAGAAGTGTTAATGATGATGCATATTGCTCTCAGACACAATACCGAACAGTGTAAATCAAACCTTGTGATTACTGTACCCCATTACAAAACTAGTGACATTTATCAGTGAAATAATCAATAGGTTGGTTTTCATCACATTATTATTATAATGGGCTATAAATATTTTTAAATACATAATTTCACATATATTAGTTAGTAAAAATATAATTTGTACAATACTACTAAAATGTATGCATTTTTATAAAAAACAAAAAAACATTTTTAATTATAACAAAAAAAATTGCTATACATTTACATAAAGCAATCGTTCATACAACACACAAAAAATACTGAACTCACCATAATGATGATGCATATTGCTCTCAGACACAATACCGAACAGTGCAAATCAAACCTTGTGATTACTGTACCCTATTACAAAACTAGTGACATTTATCAGTGATTAAATAATCAATAGGTTGGTTTTCATCACATTATTATTATAATGGGCTATAAATATTTTTAAATACATCATTTCACATATATTAGTTAGTAAAAATATAATTTGTACAATACTACTAAAATGTATGCATTTTTATAAAAAACAAAAAAACATTTTTAATTATAACAAAAAAAATTGCTATACATTTACATAAAGCAATCGTTCATACAACACACAAAAAATACTGAACTCACCAAACATCAGGCACTGGATAGACGCGACCGACATCTCTGCAGCTTTAAATGATCGCAGTGAGAAATTATGTGATTTACTGACCTCAATGTGCGCTACCGGCGAGACACACGAACACGAATTAATCATCGGAATTAAAAACAGAAGGTCAGTTGATGGGCAGACGAAGCGCGAGACTCTGTCCGCACGAGTGAGATATACTGTGCAGAACGGCAGACGTGACTGCGAGGAAAGCCAGACGGTAGCTTGTCTGCTGCTCTTCTTGCAGTCAATGGATTTACAGCGACAGATTGAGGATTTTGGAGGGTTTGATTCCTGGCGCAGTGACTGCAGGCGACCCGCTGCAGCGACGCAGGGTCCTAAACGCCGCGGATTTGTTTGTATGAAACTAGAATGAACGGTCAGCGATGGAATTCTGAAGTCGACCAATCGGAAAGCTCCGATTATGATCAACAACGCAAGTTTCACGAAGTGCATAACCATAACCAAACAAGATTGTAATTTAATGCGCTGTAGTTTATTTGCGATTTAAAATTATTTAATATATATATATATATATATATATGCAATTTGAGGAAGCTTCCAAAATGTACTGAAAACAATTTTTAAAAAATTGCAAAAATTGCAACAAAAAAATTGAAAAAAAAAAAAAGGAAAAAAAATATATATTTTTTGCAATTTTTTAAAAATCGCTTTTAGTAACTTTTGGAAGCTTCCTCAAACAAAGAAAATAAAGGTAACTGCAACTGTTCATATTAACGTTCTGGAGCTTTATTTCTCATAATTCGAATTTTTCTCAAACTCTCAGAATTGTATGTTCAAATCCTCACAGTTGAATGTTCTTGACACACAAGCATGTTTACGTTTCACAATTGTTTTTGCCTCACAACGTAAACTCAGAATCCTGAAGAAGAATCTCAGAATTGCGAGATATAAACTCAGAATTGTGAGATTAAAATAATAATTTCATTATGCGTGAACTCAGAATTTTGATGGAGAATTAAACTGCGATGTAAATTCAGAATTTAGTGCAAAAAGGCAAATTTGCAACAACTCAGAATTTTGAGAAAACCGTAGAATTTTAAGTTTATAACTTGCAACTGCAAGATATAAACTTGCATTTCTAAGGAAAAAATTGTGAAAGTCACAATGACCTTTTTAATTTTTAATTTTTTTTTCCCACAGGCGCTAACAAGCTTCGTTAAGAAGAGATTACACAACTATAATAATTCAAAACAGTAAATTACATACACAGCTTAAAGGGTTAGTTCACCCAAAAATGAAAATTCTGTCATTAATTACTCACCGTCATGTCGTCTCAAACCCGTAAGACCTTCGTTCGTGAATAATTTTTGTGCACAAAAGAAAAAAAAAAAAACTAATTTATTCAACAATTCGTCTCCTCCGCATCACCCTGTAGCGCCATTTTGGAGAGTATCCACTGGACGTAAACAACGTATGCGGTTCTGTGTCAGCTACGTTTCTGGACTTGGGAACATTTCAGTTGTATTGCTGTCTATGGAGGGTCAGAGAGCTCTCAGATTCCATCAAAAATGTCTTAATTTGAGTTTCGAAGATGAACGAAGGTCTTACGGGTTTCAAACGACATGAGGGTGAGTAATTAATGACAGAATTTTCATTTGTGGGTTAACTAACCCTTTAAGATTTATTGTTCAGAACATAACAGTACAAAAGTAATTTTTTACATCACAAATGTAATAAATGCAGTACTTCTGCAAAACCGACATTATAGAAAGTTCAAGAACGACATAATTCACATGCAGCCAATAAGACCGCACAAGCCAAGCAGATCACTTCAACCGTAACGACTACGGTAACAAGTTCATGAAAGGACCAAAAACAATATTCAATCCACATAACAATTTCTCCAACAACCTCATAACAGAATATATACAAGTCCAAGAGATTCGAAGCAACTGCTTGTGAACAAATCCAGAACGAGTGCCTAGAACTGCTGTGCGATGAGCTTTTTCTTGGCGTCGTGGGAGAATTTGTTAGAGCGGAACAGGTCGCTGTCGTAAAATGCAGACAGGTTGTGGATGTTAATCTGTCGGGCCTGAGAACAAAAAAAGATAGTGTTACGACACAAATTCGCAAATAACATGCAACTTCAGTACTTATGGGGACTTCTCGATTTAAACATCTATTAGTTACCTTGTCCACCAGATCTTTTTCAGGAATCTCGATGGTGTCCTGCTGGGCTCCGTAACGGTTGCGCTGATATGCGACCTGCTCGGAAACCAGCTGCTTCAGGATGAAGAGCAGCAGCTCGTTGTTGTCTCGTCTGAACGCCAGATACCGTGCAAACGTCTGTAAAAATGCAACAAATACGAGTTCGGTTACCAACGTAAACCAGGATCGGACAGAATCCTTGGCGTCACTAGACTTGCACAGCTACCACAAATGGAAAATTGATGCCAGATCAATATAATCAGGTTGCTTACCTTCCGCATGCTCCTCATCACGCTGAACTTCTGCGTGTCAATGAAGCTTTCTAGCATGACACGGATAGCCATGTTCACGTCGTCCTCCAGCACGTAATCCCGCAGATGCATGCGGGCGTGTGCCTCGGCCATGCGGATCATGGACTCTATGTGACGCACGGTAATCGGGATACTTCCTGTAGCCTGCGAGACAGCATATGATTACTCTTGATGTTTCTGCGATAACTGCGTTTTCTGCGTGCATTTAACGAATAATTGCAGAATGGCCTGAAAAATGGTGGAACTTTTTAAAAATTGTCTTTGGCTTCAAATGCGACTCTTACCATAGACTCTTTTCGAAGGTCGCTGTAAATTCGGGCCACCTTGTCTTGGTCCATCTGGTTGAGTTTCGGTCGCACACGCTCTTTGGCGTACATAATGTACTTCCTGAGCAGCTCCTGAGGGATGGGCGGGACATCAAATGTGTTTGGCAGCACCACCTCCTCTAGACTGGCCACGCCCCCTTCTTTGTTGCTTGGGTGATGTTTGATGTGGCTGCCCACCACGAAGCGAGCCAGCATTTCATCCTAAACCAAAGAGAATTATCGGTAAAGCGATTGACAAAGCTTGGGCAGTCACTGTTAAGGGTGTTTACATGACAACAATGTACTAAAAATGGAAAGGTTCGCATTTTTTAAAGTTTTTTTTATTTTGCATACAGATGCCAAATTTTGTCAAAATGATCCCAGTTCACATCGATCCACGAAAACGGCTAAAAACGCAGTATTATGTGTGCCAGGCCAGTAGATGGAGAGGTCAACTTCGCACATACCTATACAATGAACACATAATATACAAGCACATTACTTTTTTGTAGTTTACACAGAGACGACTACAGTATTTTTCTCAAAAACTTGCACTTTGAAACCAGTTTTGAAACTTTACAGGCCCCCAAAACTAGGGCTGCACGATAAATATCGCACGATATTTAATGCGCATCTCGTCAGTAAAGCCGGTTCTGTAATCAGCGGTAAATCTCTACACGTGCGTGCTGTCACGTGGAGCAGCATTTACTACACAGAGCCGTTGTTCACAGACAAGCTGCGCAAAACACGTTCATATATGCGATTTATCGTGCAGCCCTAGCTCAGACTACAGATTATGGTGGGCTATTTGAAACAGCAATACCAGGAAAGGTTACTCACTATAATATGGTGCAAACACATGTAACATTTAGGATGCTTTTGATATCAAGTTTTGCTGGTTAGATTTGGTTATGCCACCTATGATCAGCATTAAATGCCACTGCAGAAGATATTTTAAACTTTTATTCAACTTTGTTTTTGTTACTTACAAAAGTTTTTTTTTTTTTTTACATCACAAATTCGATACATGCAGTACTTCTGCAAAACTGACACTAGAGAAATTTCAAGAATGACAGCCAACAAGACTGCGTGAGCCAAGCAGATCACTACAACCGTAATGACTACGGTAACAAGTTAATGAAAAGACCAAAAACAACATTCAATCCGACAACTGCATGACGGAATATATACAAGTCCAAGGGATTCTACGCAATTCCTTGCAAACAAATCCATAACGAATGCCTAGAACTTCTGTGCGATGAGCTTTTTCTTGGCGTCGTGGGAGAATTTGTTAGAGCGGAACAGGTCGCTGTCGTAAAATGCAGACAGGTTGTGGATGTTAATCTGTCGGGCCTGAGAACAAAAAAAGATAAGTGTTACGACACAAATTCGCAAATAACATGCAACTTCAGTACTTATGGGGACTTCTCGATTTAAACATCTATTAGTTACCTTGTCCACCAGATCTTTTTCAGGAATCTCGATGGTGTCCTGCTGGGCTCCGTAACGGTTGCGCTGATATGCGACCTGCTCGGAAACCAGCTGCTTCAGGACGAAGAGCAGCAGCTCGTTGTTGTCTCGTCTGAACGCCAGATACCGTGCAAACGTCTGTAAAAATGCAACAAATACGAGTTCAGTTACCAACGTAAACCAGGATCGGACAGAATCCTTGGCGTCACTAGACTTGCACAGCTACCACAAATGGAAAATTGATGCCAGATCAATATAATCAGGTTGCTTACCTTCCGCATGCTCCTCATCACGCTGAACTTCTGCGTGTCAATGAAGCTTTCTAGCATGACACGGATAGCCATGTTCACGTCGTCCTCCAGCACGTAATCCCGCAGATGCATGCGGGCGTGTGCCTCGGCCATGCGGATCATGGACTCTATGTGACGCACGGTAATCGGGATACTTCCTGTAGCCTGCGAGACAGCATATGATTACTCTTGATGTTTCTGCGATAACTGCGTTTTCTGCGTGCATTTAACGAATAATTGCAGAATGGCCTGAAAAATGGTGGAACTTTTTAAAAATTGTCTTTGGCTTCAAATGCGACTCTTACCATAGACTCTTTTCGAAGGTCGCTGTAAATTCGGGCCACCTTGTCTTGGTCCATCTGGTTGAGTTTCGGTCGCACACGCTCTTTGGCGTACATGATGTACTTCCTGAGCAGCTCCTGAGGGATGGGCGGGACATCAAATGTGTTTGGCAGCACCACCTCCTCTAGACTGGCCACGCCCCCTTCTTTGTTGCTTGGGTGATGTTTGATGTGGCTGCCCACCACGAAGCGAGCCAGCATTTCATCCTAAACCAAAGAGAATTATCGGTAAAGCGATTGACAAAGCTTGGGCAGTCACTGTTAAGGGTGTTTACATGACAACAATGTACTAAAAATGGAAAGGTTCGCATTTTTTAAAGTTTTTTTTATTTTGCATACAGATGCCAAATTTTGTCAAAATGATCTTTGGCGTACATAATGTACTTCCTGAGCAGCTCCTGAGGGATGGGCGGGACATCAAATGTGTTTGGCAGCACCACCTCCTCTAGACTGGCCACGCCCCCTTCTTTGTTGCTTGGGTGATGTTTGATGTGGCTGCCCACCACGAAGCGAGCCAGCATTTCATCCTAAACCAAAGAGAATTATCGGTAAAGCGATTGACAAAGCTTGGGCAGTCACTGTTAAGGGTGTTTACATGACAACAATGTACTAAAAATGGAAAGGTTCGCATTTTTTAAAGTTTTTTTTATTTTGCATACAGATGCCAAATTTTGTCAAAATGATCCCAGTTCACATGGATCCACGAAAACGGCTAAAAACGCAGTATTATGTGTGCCAGGCCAGTAGATGGAGAGGTCAACTTCGCACATACCTATACAATGAACACATAATATACAAGCACATTACTTTTTTGTAGTTTACACAGAGACGACTACAGTATTTTTCTCAAAAACTTGCACTTTGAAACCAGTTTTGAAACTTTACAGGCCCCCAAAACTAGGGCTGCACGATAAATATCGCACGATATTTAATGCGCATCTCGTCAGTAAAGCCGGTTCTGTAATCAGCGGTAAATCTCTACACGTGCGTGCTTTCACGTGGAGCAGCATTTACTACACAGAGCCGTTGTTCACAGACAAGCTGCGCAAACCAACGATCATATTTTGCGCAGCTTGTCTGTGAACAAAACGCTGTTGTCATGTAAATGAACGGCCAAAATGCATAAAAAGTAAAAATACAAAATACACTTTTATTTGAAAACTGTGAACACCCTTAAGATGTCAACAGACTTACCTGCACAGGATCGACGGTGTCTCTTACTACGCAAAGAACGTCAAATCGAGATATGATGGGCTCCGTCAGGTCCACGTTTTCAGAAAATGTGAGAGACGGGTCGTAACGCCCACCTTTTAAGAGAAAGAAAACTTTCCTAAGAAAAATGATTGCTGCCAAAAACACTGCTGCAACTTTTGGTCCAACAGAAAGTAATTAAGAACATGATGGCATTTTAGATTAACATGCAACTCTTGAAGTGCCGATGGCAAAATTGAAGTTATGACCCTCATTTAAACTTTCATTAAAACGTTCCCAGAACGCACCGATAGGATTGGCGGCAGCCATGACAGTGCAGCGAGCCTGCAGCGATGTGACGATCCCAGCTTTAGAAATGGAGATGCTCTGCTGCTCCATGGCTTCATGGATGCTGGTCCTGTCCTGATCGTTCATCTAAATAACGAAGAAAAAGCAGGTTCACTTAAGTATTCAACTAAAACTTGCTCTAAACTGGTCCAAAAATTGGTGAAAGTGCATCAAAAACATCTTTAAAGCTACAAACTGGTCCCATTTTTAACGTTCGCTCACCTTATCAAACTCGTCAATGAGGCAGACTCCACGGTCCGCCAGCACCAAAGCTCCCGCCTCCAGTGTCCACTCTCGAGTCACGGGATGACGTTGCACGTAAGCAGTCAGACCCACGGCGGAAGCGCCCTGACCTGTAGTGAAGACAGCGCGACTCGCAACCTTCTCGATGTACTTTAGGAACTGGGACTTGGCTGTGCCTGGATCTCCACACAGGAGAACGTTAATATCACCACGCACCTTGTGCTTCCCGCCTGTTGAGGGAGCCAGAAGACAATTGAGCAACTTTCACTCTGAAGGACTTAAAAAAATGAATAGCTGTGAAAAGGATACCTGGATTCTTGGCTTCGCCGCCAAACAGAGCAAGCGCTAGACCACGTTTGATGTCCTCGTGCCCATAAATGGAAGGACCAATACTTGCGAAAATCTGGAGGGAAGTTAAGATTAATCTGGAGAAACTTTCTGATACACTCTGAAGTTACAGCTTAAACTGTAATGTGTGACCATTGCTCACCCGTTCTCCGATGCGCTCGTCTTTGGACAGAGCCACGATGGCTTTGATGTCTTCGTCGGTGAGCTCCGCCACAGCCACGCCCTGATCCTTACGGGCGATGTGATTGGCCAGGATTACAGTAGCAAAAACGGGGAAGCCATTAGCCATGTTGAGAGAGCCGTCATAGTTGTTGTGGTAGATTCCTGTGAGCTCCTGTAAAAATAAACCATTTTGAGGTTATATTTTATTCAAATATATCAAAGTATTATTTACAATATTACATAGTGGAAAAATATATAAATGCACACATATTTGAAACGAATTTTACTTGAATATTATTTTATATAGTTAGTGACATAAATATCTTAAAGGGGTCATATGATGCGATTTCAAGTTTTCCTTTCTCTTTGGAGTGTTACAAGCTGATTGTGAATAGATAAGATCCCTGAAGTTGCAAAGACTAAAGTTTCAAACCCAAAGAGATATTCTTTATCAAAGTTAAGACTCTGCCACACCCCCAATAATGATCTTTAAAAAAAGCATCATATGACCCCTTTAAGTCTCTGTTGAGGTAGATTCCTGTAAGTTCCTAATAATATTCAAGTATTATTTGCAATATAATATAATGAAGAAAGAAAAAATACATAAACACATTTAGATGGACATATTTTAATTAGTGCTGTCAAAAGATTAATCATGCATGCATATATTTAAGAAAAATATGTTAATATATTAAATAGATTTATAAATAATATAAATTGTATGAATATACATATATGCATGTTAATACATGGAAATATTTTCAAAATATATATTGTATGTGTGTGTATTTATATATACATAATAAATATACACAGTACACACATTATGTAAACAAAAACTTTTATTTTGGATGCAAATAATTGCGATTAATCGTTTGACAGCACTAAATATAATTAAATATTATATAATTTAGTTGTAATAATACAGATATTATAAAAAGACGTAGCTGTGGTGGATTCCTGTGAGCTCCAGCAACAATAATACATTTTGGAAGGAAATATTTGTATTTATATTCAAACATTATTTACAACATTAAATAATGGAAAATATGTAAATATACATTTAGAGGGGCATATTTTTCGTCAATAATATTTGATATAGTCAGTACACACACATATTATGTAAACAAAAACTTATTTTGGATGCAAATAATTGCGATTAATCATTTGACAGCACTAAATATAATTAAATATTATATGATTTAGTTGTAATAATATAGATATTATAAAAAGACGTAGCTGTGGTGGATTCCTGTGAGCTCCAGCAACAATAATACATTTTGGAAGGAAATATTTGTATTTATATTCAAACATTATTTACAACATTAAATAATGGAAAATATGTAAATATACATTTAGAGGGGCATATTTTTCGTCAATAATATTTGATATAGTTAGTGATATAAAAATTACAAGAATTCATAGATGCTATGGTAGATTCTTGTGAGCTCCAGCAAAAAAAAAAAAAACAGACATTTTTGGAGGGTCTATTTAATATTTAATTTTAGAAATATTATTTGAAATGTTATATAGTAAAAATAGGATACAAATACACATTTAGGCAGTAGGCAGTCTTTATATATTACTTATAAATTACATAATTATAGTGATAGAAGTAACATACAAAAAGTTTATTTTGATCACTTTAAATATTTACAGGTCCAAATTTCAGGGCATATTGTATTTACATATTTACTTTAACATTGCTCAATAACGCCCATTTTTGTTTCATTTTATAGAATATATAGTCTTTTATTTATGTTTTAAGACAGAAATCGATATTCAATTACTTTTAATGGCTATAGAGGTTTTGAAGTCCAAATTTAATAGTGAACTTCTGATGCCACCAAACTGTTGTCTGGGATGAATGCCGTGCAGATCAAGCTTGTTCATTAAAGGGGATTTGATAAATATTGTATTCATCAGGGTCTGTTGACTCACAATCTCGTCTCCAGGTTTGCAAGTGTCCACCAAGTCGGCCAGCAGGATGGCATCTTTGGAGCGAGGCAGGCGGCCCGCCGCGACTTTTCCAGGACTCTCCTGAATAGTGATACGCTGGTAGTTCTGGTACACAGTCTGTGAAAGGCAAGAACCTTAGTTAACATCAGAAGAAAAAAAGAACAATGATGACAAAAGCTGGTCTCCTAAGAGCACATTTACATAAGCAGATAAGCAAGGACGCAAAGACAATTTTCTTCAAACATGTATTAGTTTATTATTGAATAAGCCAGATTAAAGGTTGATTAATCGCCACTTGCTAAATTCTGTTTGGATCAGATAAAATAAATATAGATGAATCAAAAATGGTAAAAAACGGTCTTTAGTTCCCTCCCCCCCAAATCAGTAAAAAATAAATAATTAAATCCACCACTTTCTTTAAAGATTCATCCAAATACATTATACTCTAAATTGCAAATCACACAGAAATGCTTTCCTCACGCACCTGCTCCATGTTGATCTCAAACGGACCGAGTGATTGACACTCGGGACAGGAGCCCGGCTTCACCTCCTGGTTCTGGGACTGGAAGAAGGGTCCCAAGATGAAGTTACACTTGTTACAGTTGTATTTCACCATACCGAGCTGCGGCAGAACTCCAGTGCAGCTGGTCACGACACCGCTGGTGCGGATTAGCTGGTTCAGGTGAAGCTGCCTGGAGAAAAAATACAATAGTTAATAAATAAAATTGCAAATAAATAACATTTTTATTTCATCTTATTTTTAATATTTACATTTACATGTCTAAAATGTATTTGGAAAAACAAAAGAAGTGGAGTTGTTCGTACCTGAGCGATCGAAGTTCTTCCACCAGCGGCAGGTTGCCGATACGGACGTGGATTTCGTGTGCGATTCTATCGTATTTGGGGTACATTGCCAGCACCACCTCTTTAGCGGCTTCGTCAAAGATCTTTAGCATCTCGGCAGGAGCCTCCGGCAGAAAATACGCCAGCACATGCTCTCTGGATGCCAGCTCTTCATAGTTCACCAACAAACTCTCTTTGTTTTCTGTAGAAATCACAAAATATCAAGTCAAGAATCAGCGAAATCAATAATACGGTGCTCTTAGATGACCATCCGCCACCCACCTTTGCACATGTCGCTGATGCGCTCTTTGAACACATTGTGTCCGTGCTCGTCCACATGTGTGCGCAGGAAGTTCTTGAAGCGGTGGTAGATCTCCAGTCGTGGGGCGGCCATTGAAACCCACTCCCTGACCGTGTGGCCCTTCATGTCCTCCAGGTTCTCAATGCTTTCGATCATCTCTTCATCCTCGCCGTCCATTGCGACGCCCTCAGCTGCCCTCTCCGCAAGAACCCGCTGCCTCTTCGTGGGTCGTTTGTCATCCTCATCTTCACTGTCTGTCCATGCGATTAATCATTTGACAGCACTAAATATAATTAAATATTATATAATTTAGTTGTAATAATACAGATATTATAAAAAGACGTAGCTGTGGTGGATTCCTGTGAGCTCCAGCAACAATAATACATTTTGGAAGGAAATATTTGTATTTATATTCAAACATTATTTACAACATTAAATAATGTAAAATATGTAAATATACATTTAGAGGGGCATATTTTTCGTCAATAATATTTGATATAGTTAGTGATATAAAAATTACAAGAAGTCATAGATGCTATGGTAGATTCTTGTGAGCTCCAGCAAAAAAAAAAAAAACAGACACATTTTTGGAGGGTCTATTTAATTTAAATATATAGAAATATTATTTGAAATGTTATATAGTAAAAATAGGATACAAATACACATTTAGGCAGTGTATTTTCTTTATATATTACTTATAAATTACATAATTATAGTGATAGAAGTAACATACAAAAAGTTTATTTTGTTCACTTTAAATATTTACAGGTCCAAATTTCAGGGCATATTGTATTTACATATTTACTTTAACATTGCTCAATAACGCCCATTTTTGTTTCATTTTATAGAATATATAGTCTTTTATTTATGTTTTAAGACAGAAATCGATATTCAATTACTTTTAATGGCTATAGCGGTTTTGAAGTCCAAATTTAATAGTGAACTTCTGATGCCACCAAACTGTTGTCTGGGATGAATGCCGTGCAGATCAAGCTTGTTCATTAAAGGGGATTTGATAAATATTGTATTCATCAGGGTCTGTTGACTCACAATCTCGTCTCCAGGTTTGCAAGTGTCCACCAAGTCGGCCAGCAGGATGGCATCTTTGGAGCGAGGCAGGCGGCCCGCCGCGACTTTTCCAGGACTCTCCTGAATAGTGATACGCTGGTAGTTCTGGTACACAGTCTGTGAAAGGCAAGAACCTTAGTTAACATCAGAAGAAAAAAAGAACAATGATGACAAAAGCTGGTCTCCTAAGAGCACATTTACATAAGCAGATAAGCAAGGACGCAAAGACAATTTTCTTCAAACATGTATTAGTTTATTATTGAATAAGCCAGATTAAAGGTTGATTAATCGCCACTTGCTAAATTCTGTTTGGATCAGATAAAATAAATATAGATGAATCAAAAATGGTAAAAAACGGTCTTTAGTTCCCTCCCCCCCAAATCAGTAAAAAATAAATAATTAAATCCACCACTTTCTTTAAAGATTCATCCAAATACATTATACTCTAAATTGCAAATCACACAGAAATGTTTTCCTCACGCACCTGCTCCATGTTGATCTCAAACGGACCGAGTGATTGACACTCGGGACAGGAGCCCGGCTTCACCTCCTGGTTCTGGGACTGGAAGAAGGGTCCCAAGATGAAGTTACACTTGTTACAGTTGTATTTCACCATACCGAGCTGCGGCAGAACTCCAGTGCAGCTGGTCACGACACCGCTGGTGCGGATTAGCTGGTTCAGGTGAAGCTGCCTGGAGAAAAAATACAATAGTTAATAAATAAAATTGCAAATAAATAACATTTTTATTTCATCTTATTTTTAATATTTACATTTACATGTCTAAAATGTATTTGGAAAAACAAAAGAAGTGGAGTTGTTCGTACCTGAGCGATCGAAGTTCTTCCACCAGCGGCAGGTTGCCGATACGGACGTGGATTTCGTGTGCGATTCTATCGTATTTGGGGTACATTGCCAGCACCACCTCTTTAGCGGCTTCGTCAAAGATCTTTAGCATCTCGGCAGGAGCCTCCGGCAGAAAATACGCCAGCACATGCTCTCTGGATGCCAGCTCTTCATAGTTCACCAACAAACTCTCTTTGTTTTCTGTAGAAATCACAAAATATCAAGTCAAGAATCAGCGAAATCAATAATACGGTGCTCTTAGATGACCATCCGCCACCCACCTTTGCACATGTCGCTGATGCGCTCTTTGAACACATTGTGTCCGTGCTCGTCCACATGTGTGCGCAGGAAGTTCTTGAAGCGGTGGTAGATCTCCAGTCGTGGGGCGGCCATTGAAACCCACTCCCTGACCGTGTGGCCCTTCATGTCCTCCAGGTTCTCAATGCTTTCGATCATCTCTTCATCCTCGCCGTCCATTGCGACGCCCTCAGCTGCCCTCTCCGCAAGAACCCGCTGCCTCTTCGTGGGTCGTTTGTCATCCTCATCTTCACTGTCTGTCCA